CCATTTTAGAGAGTCACCATTTGATTTTTTTTTAGAAAAGCTTTCTCCTTATACTTTTCAATGACTTCCAGTTAAATCAGTGGAACACTAAAAAGGTAGGAATGTCATGCTGTGCTTTTTGAATTATTTAGCTTTTAGACCCCACTTTTCGTTCCAGGCTTCTACATTTTCCACCAGTGTTATTCAGCGGGCTGTCCCAAACCTGCAAAGTCATGTAGGGTGTAATGTTTGTCTTTATAAATTGGGGTGTGATGTGGGTTGCTCAAAACGTCCCATTGAGAGAAAAATCCTTATTACTTTTCAATTCCAAAACAATGCACCACTCCCTGTTCTGTGGTCATATTATAAATAACGATTACTCCGCTAATTGACTTCCGCTATTTTGCATTGTGTTTACAGCGAGATTTTTATGTGTTTTCTTTATATTTTGTGATATTTGATCAATATTTAGTTCATAATTGAGGCCTCCATTTCCAGAACAGAGATGTGAAGTCCCACAGAGACATCAGTTTCTGCTCCACTGCTAGGGGGTTTAATGTAAATTCCACAACTCCCCTTCCTGACTGCATTTGTAGCAGAGCCGTCGGTGAAAACCTGAGTCCAAATTGTTCATCTCAATTAGTGTGTGCAAGTTGTCATCGTAGCCTCAGATTAGTTGAAACTCAAAGGTAAGGGTTAGGAAGTAAGATTTTATTTTCAGTGACTAAAGTTGCTACAACTACTACAGCTGTTTCATTAGCAATGAGTATTCAGTGATTGTGCTAGGACATTCTTGGATATTGTGAAGGCACTGGAGCTCAGTGTTGGACGGTTTCCTATAGACTGTTTTCTAAATAAGGATTGTTTTTTAAGATAAGGATATGCGCTGCATAAAAAAAATGCTCAACAGCAAGCCAAAGATACATTATATGAAGCCAAAATAGCTAAGAGGCGGAGTAGACTTACTAGAGATGAGAAGCATGTCCACCAGGAAGGATTACATGGAGGACATTAGCTCATTCAAGCCGAGTAAGTGCAATTATTCTCCGTAGAAATTCACCGAAAACTTTGCCAAAATGTAGGTGGTTTGACTGATCTTTTGGTGTTTTTTCCTAAACTATTGGAGATAAATTAATAAACTTTGGTACACAGCTTTAAAACAATAACAGCTAGGTTCCCTACCAGCAGCTTAGAGAAATACTTAATGTAGGTTGAGTTATAAATATTTTAATTTTATATTTTGCTAGTAATTTGAACCCCAAATTAAAAACTTTATAACTTCACAAGTATTATTAGTACAGACAAACTAGAGGTAGGGCATCTAACTGTAACAATGTACTGCTAGGACTCCAAAATTCAGGACTTTTTTAAAATTAGTTCATAAAATATTTGTATAAAAAAATTTTAATTTACTTTTACAATATTTTCAATTTTAAAATAATTTAGCAAGTTTGAACAAGTTTGCAAAAATACACAAAACATATTAGTGAACAGTCATGTATCAAGCACATGTTTACCAAATTTCAAGAAGATATTTTGATGTTTAGTCTGGTCATTCATTTAAAAACAAAATAGTACCTGTGTTTTCAACTTTCTAACCAGAGTGCCCCCTTAACGCACACACATCCATCACCTCTCACAGATCTGAAGATTACCTTCCTGAACAGGGTGATTCCTGGCTAAATGGCCAAGTAGTTTGCCTCGTGTTTAAAGGCATGGTTTCGTTTCACTGACTGAATTACTTGTTTCACGAATACAGTTTTTTTTATGGAGATACCTTGGTGATAGAGGGCTCGTAATTTTTGTGACACTTCCGGCAAACAGCTGGTTATTCGGTGGAGAGTGGCTGGAGGCTGAGCCATATGGGATCAAATACGGTGCCGTGAAGTCGATCCTCGCAACTTTAAGCCTTTATCATGATTTAACATGAATAAAAAATATTCGATGGGTACCACTTAGATAATAAACTCATTGTAAAATTCACTAACAGACTGGCTGAAGAAAGAAAAAACACAATTGGATCAAGTAACACTAGTGATCAATATCATCGGATGTGTCCTGGTAACAATAAATTATACTGATTACATAGTTATTGTTTTAGCACGAAAAATCAAATGAGCACCTTGGAAAAGTGACAGCAAAAACAATAGTCATTGAAACTACGCTGAAAGCAAGCAGGAAAGACAAAAAAACATCCCATTAAGAAAGGCCAAGTTAATTTAGAAACTGTCTGCTCGGTGCTTTTCCCGCCTTTGTCTCTTAAACTGGGATCTTTCAATAATGGTATCCATGGTTTCCAGCACTCTTGGAGACTTCTCAACGGAGTCTCTGGCTGTTACGGCAAACATTATTATCTGCTTGTCTGTTCCAGAGATCCCCAGTGTTATTTGGTGCTTTGATTCTACTTTTTCCTGGCTTAAAAGCTCAAGTATTATTTGGTACTCTGATTCTGCTCTTTCTTAGCTGAAAGGCTCAACGTTCGCCTCAGCCTCGAGCAAAGACGCTACGATTCATCAGTTACGGTATACTGATGTTTGTATGTGGTTTAATTGGCATGGCTGGATTATGGGGTTTACTGCCGATGGTTAGAGAATGTTTTTTTTTTTTTCCTTTCTTTTGAGGTTGCTGAAACGTGTGATTTATCGGAGAAGGCAGGGGTATGTGGAATATTGGATGAGGCTGAAACATGTGATTTATGTGAGGATATTGAAGTTGCTAATGGAGGAGGCTCAGGCTCGCCAAACAATTTTTTTTAAACGAAAAGGCTGACGTATGTGATTTATTTGAGAAGGTTGGAATATGGGGTTTGTTGTAGAGACTGAAACGTGTGATTTATTTGAGAAGGCTGGCATATGGGTTTTATTGTAGAGACTGAAACGTGTGATTTCATTTGAGAAGGCTGGCATATGGGGTTTATTGTAGAGACTGAAACGTGTGATTTATTTGAGAAGGTTGGAATATGAGGTTTATTGGAGAGACTGAAACGTGTGATTTATTTAAGAAGGTTGGCATATGGGGTTTATTGTAGAGACTGAAACGTGTGATTTATTTGAGAAGGTTGGAATATGAGGTTTATTGGAGAGACTGAAACGTGTGATTTATTTGAGAAGGCTGGCATATGGGGTTTATTGTAGAGACTGAAACGTGTGATTTATTTGAGAAGGCTGGCATATGGGGTTTATTGGAGAGACTGAAACGTGTGATTTATTTGAGAAGGCTGGCATATAGAGTTTATTGGAGAGACTGAAACGTGTGATTTATTTGAGAAAGCTGGCATATGGGGTTTATTGGAGAGACTGAAACGTGTGATTTATTTGAGAAGGCTGGCATATGGGGTTTATTGTAGAGACTGAAACGTGTGATTTATTTGAGAAGGCTGGCATATGAGGTTTATTGGAGAGACTGAAACGTGTTATTTATTTGAGAAGGCTAGCATATGGAGTTTATTGTAGAGACTGAAACGTGTGATTTATTTGAGAAGGCTGGCAAATGGGGTTTATTGGAGAGACTGAAACGTGTGATTTATTTGAGAAGGCTGGCATATGGGGTTTATTGGAGAGACTGAAACGTGTGATTCATTTGAGAAGGCTGGCATATGGGGTTTCTTGGAGAGAGTGAAACGAGCGGTTGTAAACAGATTGAGGAACACCGATGTAGTCAAATTCACACCGGCCACTTTTCTCTATAAGACATTTCCTGATACCAGTTTTTGACCAATACCAACTGCACCCAATGTGTATTCGAACCCTAGACCTTCGGGCTGGTAGATAGGCAAGCGCTCCTTCCTTTCCCCTTACTCCAAACGCCCATTGACTACATTATGATCAAAAACCCTCAGCTCCTTGCTCGATCAATATAGGAATATATTCCGATATCAGAACTAGCCTTCTCTCTATCGTGCTGATATTTTCCCATTATGTTCAGGGAAATGAGAAGTGGACAGCGTGCTTCAACAAATGGAATTTTCCTTGGAAAGGCAGGCAGGTGAAAAGGCTAGCTTCCAACCCAGAGGCCCCTCGCATGTAATCAGTGTTAGGGCCGCCAAGCGTGAAATAAATAATTGGATGGCCTGTTAATGATAATGTTATGACATGGGGATAGTGCGAAATCACATTTGCGTCAGCTCTTCTGGGGCATCTCTCGAGGAACTGTACGGCATTGGGGAGTTTCTGTGGTAATCAAAGTAATATAAGACGTGGATTGATAGATTAGAATTGATAAAGAAGTTCAGAGAATGAACATTATGTGTTGTGACACATACTACTACCATTGCAAACCACCAGTTATGTCAGTATGTTGCGGTGGTTTAGTGGTACGTTCGCTAGCCTGTTAAAGCAGTGCTCCGGGGGTTAACCCTAAGCTTATGCAGGCTAATTGTGGCCCCTTTTTGCAGTACCGCGCTGGTGTGGTTCCAACCTCGTAAGTTTGGGTTTCAATGTGTTTGTTGGTAAATTTAATTCTCCTTGCTATTTCTCTATAATTTTCTCTACTCCGCCCCCGCCTTTTTTTCCCATTTCAAACAGGAGTTCTCTCTCATTCACTGCACTTATATATATATATATATATATATATATATATATATATATATATATATATATATATATATATATATATATATATATATATATTACTAACGTAAGGAGCATGGAGTATTTAAATATTTTAAATACAGCTCGTGTAAACATTTGTGTGAAATTAGGGCTTGTTTTGCCCTTAAAATGTATTACTATTGTTCAATAAAAGTATACAAGTACGTAGCTGTTAATAATATTTTGTCTGATAATAAATACATGTCTCAAGACTTAACTCAGATTTGAATTTTTCTTTTCATCCTTTTGGTAGACGTTGATCCTTAACCCTGTCTACTCCAGGAAACGCACCACGCGTGGCTGGAAAGTACGCACATATCCCAGTCAGAGTATAGGTTTTTACATTTGTCGCGAAGTCAAGGATTCTAAAGAAACCTGACAGTATTTGTTGCCTTGCGGTTGTTTTTTTAATTTACAGAAGAAAAGCTTTATTTAAATTTCTTTCATTTCTCTTAGAGGACGAATAGAACTTCTAACCTGGGCTGCTGCAGTTGTTGAGTAAACCCTAGCACCACCAGCAACAGTTTTAGAACACCTGTTACATTTCCAGCTTTTCTTTTCATGGCTTCCTTTCCGCAAAATGGACAGGTGTAGGTACTGTGTTGCGTCACTTCCATCTTTTTGACAGTCTTTCTCAGATAGGCACCATATTTGGTACCATACTTTCCTACAATTCCAACCTTCTTGGTTCGCTTGGCTGAAGTTGTGTATAACACTGTGATACTTTTTGGTTATCTCTCTAAAGAGGAATGCTCAACCCTTTAGAGACGAAGTGGTTTCCACACTAGTATCGACAGCCAACCCGTTCAGTGACAGTGGCAAACTATTGGACCTCGGTTGCCTAGTGAAATTACAAATAAAATTTAAAAAAAAAAAAATTGCTGGTGTCGGATCTTCAACGTAAAGGATACGCAGCTAACTTTAAGCAAAGACACGGCAGATAACAATCCATTTTACGTATCGCGGAAAGAAAGAAAAGTATTATTTACCACAGTGTCAGCTAAACCAGTCAAACATAAGTGGCATTGTTAGATCTGTTGTTCGACTGATATATTTAAATCCCTTGTCCCTCTCGTTGTGTTTTTTGTGTGTATCCTCACACATCTAACGTTTTATTACCTGTTATGTTGTTGATTCTTTTTGCCGTTTTATATTTCACAAACACGTTTCCTCATCCCTCATTGTTTTCAGACTTGAGTACAAAGAATGCGAAACTAGATTTGTGTTTTCATAATGGGCAGTAATAATTATTTCAAATATCGGTGGTTTTCTCTACAGTGACTTAGCTTTTGGATTAAAAATTCTCAGGGCGGGAATTTTTTTAAATGACCTAGGCTGAGAGAACCATCTAATCTAGCCCATAATGTCTTGGAAAGAACGAGAGAGAGAGAGATAGAGAGAGAGAGAGAGAGAGAGAGAGAGAGAGAGAGAGAGAGAGAGAGAGAGAGAGAGAGAGAGAGAGAGAGGCGTGAATTAGTATAATGTACGAGATAAACTAACAATTCATTATGTTTATTTTGGTTGTAGCGTGGATTTCACTGGCGCTACTACTGTTGAGATATTGTACTTGACACAGTAGTAAGACAGTTATGTGGTCAAGGGCTTTATAGAAAGTTTCTTCCCACTTGGGTGTTGGGTCTTAGTCTGTTGATAGTGAAACACTACATTACCTGCGTGACCCTTTGGGCCCTTGTTTTGTGGGAATAGACTCACTGCCCATATCAAACATGTCTCCACATGGCTAATCAGTTAGAAGGAAAATAACTTCAGCATTTAACACAGCGTAGAGGGGCTTCAGTAGGAGCCTTCTACCAGTTGTAAATGTGAAGCCACAGAAGAAGAAAAAACTGCAATGGCCAGGAAACAAAGATAGAAATTGTGTGAAGGGGGAAAAAATTGCCTGAAATTGAATGTTCAGCTCTCTGTATAGGCATGTGCTTGTGGCAGGACTTGGTCGATTCGAGTTTCCCCATTTTGCTTTCTTCCGTTCTCTATTTTGCTTTCTTCTTTAAGGGTTTAATTCTGTTTCTTTCTCTCAGCGGAAATTTAAACACATCCTCTGATTGGTTGTGTCAGATTATGTTGAAGCTGACAGAAGGGTTGATGCTGACGAGGGAGGTGGGGGGGGGGGGGGGGGGCATTGGGCACGGGAAACGGCAATGAGCCAAGCCTGGTCGACCGTTGACATGGAACAGGAGGACAACACCATTTTTTTAAATCGGAGACAGATTGTTTAGTGGTTAATTACAGAGCGGAACTGACTGCCAGATGAAGCTGTCATGTTCTTCTTCTTCATCTGCTTTTGCCTTTAAAAATGCTACGATATCCACCACTTTTGGCCCAACACAGTCGATTTTGCTTCCCAGTAAATTTCCTAGTACCAGTCTTAGGCGCGATTGGCCTAGATCCTCAAGTCAAGACTTGAATCCAAGAGCTTGCGGGCAGGGAAGCAACCACGGTCGTCAGTGTGTCCCTGCTGCCTCCACAGTTACTCTAAAAACTCTTTCATTGTCCTTATACATTTTCAGGGAGGTGTAGGCCTGCAGTCGGTGTCTGTGGTTTAGGCGTTGCGAACTTGCATCTCTGTTCTGAGCTACCGGGTTGAATTCCAGCTGCAAGCGATTTGACAGCAGACCGCCTTGTCTTGATTTCGATATTGGTATCGAGAGCTGACCGTTCGGTTCGAACGTAACATTGTAGTAGTAAAATTAGAAACACACTTGTCACGTACCAACTTGCTCCAATTTTATAACACCCTATTATCCCAAAAACTACTGGACGTAAACTTGCCTAGAAAAACCACACAACAGCCAGGGGCTGTTGGGGTTGGTCCTGCGACGTCCTGTAAAGGATATGCAACTAACCTTAATTATCCCAAAAGAGACAAAAATATATATTATAAATACAATATTTATACTGACTTTATGTTACCAAAATCGGACTTCGACCGAGTGTGCCCTGGCTCGGCTGCCGATCGTCTGATGAACTGTAACGCCTAGCAGCATAAGCAGATTTTGACAAAAGAAGAAAACCAGAAACAGCACATCTTGTAGCGGATACGGAACTAACTTTAGGTCTGAGAATTTAAGACTGCGTGGCTAGTGCCGCCGCCACGAACTGGGCAGTTGAATGTCTGCTCTCGATATTAAAAACAAAATCCTACTGCATTACTAGAGATTCGAGCCGGGATCTCTCAGATAATATTTCAACCTTTTAACCGCCCTGCCAGACGCTGCTGACATTTATACATTTCTGGATTTAAATGGATAACCACGAACTGATTACAGTGTACTTTTGCTTGTTTTGTCCTGACTGTTTCGCCTGTACTTTAGCAGACCTAGTGTGTGTGTGTGCGCGCGCGCGTGCATGTGTGTAAAGCCTATCGAGAAAAAAAATGAAGGTTGGTTGCTGTCTGGTGTCACATTTGCTGAGGGCGGGGACGCAGATTGTTTTTCTCCTTGTCGCTCAAACACACAACCAATTTCCAGCCGTAGCTCGGTAATCTAACGTTTCAAACTCCAGCAACTTGAAATTCGAACGAAAATTTTACGTCTTTTTTTTTTGTGTGTGCCTCAGAACTTGAACAGGATCTTGAAAAACCATTTGCCTGACACGTGCCAATCACACGACTGAGCTGACAAGGCAAGAGCTTCAGCACCTTCACCAGCACCAGAAGGAAGCAATTACAGAATAAATTTCCTTCTAGGAGGAAGAGGGTGAAGCTGAAATCCAAGATCTTCTGACCATATGGTCATAAACACAAGAAGTTGTTGAGAGTTGGGACCCGGATAGAGCCCTAGTCAGGTGTTTCAACCTATTCAGTGATAACATTATCGAACAGCCTAGCTGTAAACCACAACACAGCGTACCAGCCGTCGAGAAAATGAAGTAGAAGACCACATCATGTCATCACCATCATAATGTGCCGTGCCTGTAAGCGTTGGATGTCGTGTTTCGCCATCTCAGACGATCACCAGGATGACGGATCAGTTCAGTGTTTTTGTCTCGCTTCATCATTCTGGTCTAGCCATCGAGGTGTTTATCTCTTTGCCTTCCTCTTGCTGTCCTACCATAAATCTTGCCAGTCGTCACAAGGTTGTCGAGTCCATTCCTTTTCCCAGACACATTGGCTGTCTACGTATAATTGTTTTTACAAGTGGACGACTTTGGTCTGTCTCCATGAGCACTGCTTGGTTTATTTTTCTGTTTCTCCATGCTATTGTTTACATTTTGCTTATTAAAAAAAAAAATATACACATCGCTGTCGCAAGTAAATGTTTGTCTACTTAATGTCTATGTCTCACACGCATATAACAACACAGGTTCTACATAACACTTAAAAACACTTTTTTGTCACTGCAGTTTACATCTTCTTATTGGTGAGAATCTCCTGTATCATGCTAAAGGACACTGTTGCCATGGCGATAATTGTTCTTTCTTGCATCAGATGTTATGTACTTCGATGCACTGTATGGGCGTTTTTCACTTCTATTTATTGTCTCGTGCTTGCAATCCATTATTTGCTAATCCCTGTCTTTGTTTTCGTTTTTTTTAAATCTCTCTCTCTCTCTCTCTTCTCTCTCTCTCTCTCTCTCTCTCTCTCCTCTCTCCCCCTTCTCTCTCTCTCTCTCTCTCTCTCTCTCTCTCTCTCTCTCCCTCCCTCCCTCCCTCCCTCTGTTCCTGTTATACATCTGTAATTTTCTGCAGCTGTCTCTTTGTTAATCTAACTTTACCCCTGTCTTTTTATTTATCACGCGTTCTCAGTGACGTCCCACTGGACGAAATCTATTGCTGCAACTTGCAGGGTCAGTTTACGCATTGTTGAATCCTGTCGGATCTGTCTATCCGCCTTGACTGACGTTTTCAGTTATCTATGTCTGGTCACTTTCACACCAACAGAGGCCGCCATAGAAGCAGCCATTGTTAGACTTTGCTGGCGTCTGTGGGCAGCCACGTTCAATTATAGACTGTGCCGTTAACTTTACACTGTGTGATCGTATTGTTGCTGTTTCCGAAAAAGAGCATCTAAGACTCTGTAGGAATCAGGCTGTAAAAGTTTAATGAGGTGCTATCTACGATGTGAAGGTCGGATATAAAGCGTCTTTGTGCTATTTTAACGTGGTTCCGATACTGCTATTTGAAGGTTTGGTACCAGGGTGACCCATGGAGCCACAGTTAGGGTGGTAGTTCAATATGTGCAGATTCCGATCCAAGTTCAGCCTTACAACAGAGTTATATTTAGTGATTGTTGGCTAAAAATAATCTTTTGATGGTGCTTTCACCAAGAAATCTCTAATATTTTATATTCTTCCTGATCTAGGGTAGATTTGCCTTTTGAAAGAGAGAGGGTGGAAAGGGGGAGTGGGGGGGGGTAGAGTGGTGCTAGAATTGCAATGTGAGGACGTTGCGAAGAAACCTCTGCAGTGCAAACGCGAAAACACTACGCTGAATAGGCCACTGTTGATTTATCCGCACACCAGGGAAGTCGTTACACGTGACATATCGTCCTGGTCCCGGTGCCCATGAGCGACAGCATATAAGGAAGCAGCAGTTCAACAGAGACAAGCTGGACAAGACTGAATACATTCTCTAGAAACCATTTATGACCTCCAGTTGCTGTGCTCTCGCAATAAGAAGTCTGTTGCATAGTCTTGTCCAGCTTCCTTGATTTCCCGCTGTAATACGGATCTGCTCCCG